CTCTCTCTCTCTCTCTCTCTCTCTCTCTCTCTCTCTCTCTCTCTCTCTCTCTCTCTCTCTCTCTCTCTCTCACACTCTCGCTCTCTCTCTTTTGGTACTTCAGAGACCTACTCCACATCCAACCCCTCCATGTGTAACCATGGTTCACAAGATCCCAGCACTTTTAACGAAATGGGGTCCAATCATCTTGAACTCAAATTAGAATCTATTTTTTGATTCTCAGAGGTGTTAGGTTCATTAAAAAGTGAGATTGGCAGCACAATAAAGAGGGTCAAGCAACTATGTCGCTGTCTGTCTGCTGCCTGCAAGCTGAGCGTGGCAGTCCATAGCAGCTATTTTTTCTTTATTCTTTGATGTCTTTCTTCCTTTCTGTCATTCTTTCTTTCTTCCTTTGAATGGTCTATCTGTATTTTTTTACATTGTTTTACATCTTTCTGATCTGCAACTCACAATCTGATTACTCTTCTGTGCTCCCCCACAGCTGAGCCACTATCAGGCACTGTACCAGAAGAAGACTGTCAGGAGTCCCCCAGGCTGGGCGTTGCTCAGGACGAACCCCTAAAAGGGGACCAGGACTTGCTGACCTGCGGCCAGTGCCAGTCCCGCTTCCCCTTGGCTGACATTCTGCTATTCATTGAACATAAACGAAGGCAGTGCCATGGGAGTCTCTGTACGGACAAACCCCTCGACAGGCCACCGTCCTCGCCTCTCTCCTCGCCACTCTCCACGTCATCCTCGCACTCAAGGAACCACCACCCGCGTAGGGTATGCCACCCCGTGGAGGTGGCCGTGCAAGTGTCGCCGCAGGACGAGGACTGTTTATCTACACCCTTGCAAGGAATAATCCCCAAGCAGGAGAATATTACAGGTAAACACAAATGGCTGCCATGCAAGGGTTAAGCAAGAGGTATAGTTTGGGTGGTATATGAAGCATCTGCTGCTGCATTGAAGGCCTTTGAATGTCCTTGAGTTAGAGCCCTGAAATCACATAAAGAGCGACCATCCTGACAATTATCGCAAGGAACGGAAACGTTTTCAGTGAAAAACGAGACACATACTGTCAGACAAAGACATAGATTATATAAAGAAAAAAAATGGATTACAGATGTGCATAGATCCGTTGCCCTCATGTGGTGGTGAGGGATGCATTTCTCTCCCTCCCAGCATTGTTCCACTGTCCCATCTCGTGCTTCTTCAAACATGTGCCAAGAAAAGCTCACTCCTTTATAAAAACTTATTGATAGTTTTTTTTTTTTGTAACTGATTTTGTTTTCGAAGAAAATCATGCATTTTAAGAGAGGCACCGCCTCCAATTATCTGCTTGTCTTGTGATTTGAGTAATTAAGGGCTTTTTAATGCTGCTGGTTGGTACATTGGCAGTCCGCTGGGACGACATGGGCCTGTTGTGCTAACAAGCGTGACTCTCTTATGACTGGTTTTACATGGTGGGGTTTGATTTTGACCAGTTAAGCTTTTTCTGATGTTGACTAATTTCCCCGATACCACGTGCCAGTTTGGCCAGATTGACTAGAATAGGGTAGGTTAATTTGGAGCCAATCCAAGCTAAATGTGCAGACAGCAGCACCCAACAATGCAAGCTACTGTCCTGTATTAGCTAGAGCTGCTGCTCTGCAGATGGTAAGTCTCTTAGCAGTTGTTAGCGAGCTATCCCTCTTCCTATACAGAGTGACCACTGTTCATTAGTCTGGAGTTTGCAAAACATCTGCCCTCCGTACGTGCGTGCGTGTGCGCGCGCACACACACACACACACACACACACACACACACACACACACACACACACACACACACACACACGCGCGCACACACAAATAAATGCAAGCCCAAGCGCACACACGCACGAAGCTCACTTGCCTCTTGGCCTTGTCAGCTGCTCGAATATGCTTTTCTTTGCTTATTTAGATCCTCGTGCAACACAATTCACATGATGTCGTAGGGTCAGGAGCTCGCATTTGGGGCATATTATTTATAGCTCTCACATATCTGGATGCTGTATAAGAGACACACTGCCTCGCTTGATTATTTTAATTAATTAGGGTCTAGTTTGCATTCTGCTGGATAAAAAGTCATTTCAAACATTTTGAGTAAGATCTCCAAAAAATAAAAATAAAAATCATAATAATAATAGATGCATGTGACCACGGTGTCAGAAAGACTCCATATCATTCACATGCAGTGAAAGCACTCTCCTCCCACCTCCGTTGCGCTGTATCTTAGATTGATGGATGCAGACTGGCAGTGCCAGTGCACCACCCCTTTACCACATATGGTCGCTGCCATGTTCTCTCACCCTGCTCGGCTAGAGGCTGACACACAGAGACGAGGCATTTCCATGCATTATCTCCCTTCATGATGTTAAACTCCTACAGGATTGTGTTATACAGTATGCATATTCCTAATGAGCATCTTGCAGAAAAGAGTACCTTTTGAAATATAATTTGATGCAGATGATTGACTGGTGTAGGAGTTGCTGAATCTAGTGAGGAGGATGATTGATCCTGGAGGTTGTGGGGGTGATGATGGTGTCTAAAAGAGCCAGAACTGGAATGGGACAGCTGAGGCTGTCTGGGAAGTCTCATGGCTGCAGCTGGGGCCACGGTCTGTAGTCTGGAGCCCTGGGCTGTTAGAAGAGGGCAGAGCAGCCTGCGTGCCATCATTTGCATGATAAACAATTTAAGATATGCATAGCGACAACGTAGCTTGTCTCCAGATTATGGATGGCCCAGAAAAGGAGCAGATGACCGTTTCTCACACAATCCTGCGAAAGTGGATTATATCTCACATGATGCAATTTATATTAAAGTGGCATATAATTGAAGATTTACGTTTGTTTACATTTATCTTCACTCGTCAATTATATGAATGCAAATCTGATTTCTGTTGTGTTATTGCTTCCCCCCATTGCACTGATTTAAGTGGCACTACTACACAATAGCGCATTTACATATGCCATTCCCTCCATAGTAACTCCAACCTCTTCAAACTATTTGATGAAGGAGATACAGAAGGAGGTAAGATGATATTGCAATACTACCTGTGGCCCATCTATTTTATCCATCCCAACATTTGCATCTCTTACATCCTCACCAGTGTCTTAATGAGGCCACTGTAGCAAAGTTGAACAGCACCTCACACTTCCGCCTCCTTCTAGTACTCTTGCTCAATTGAAACCTTGACTTTGAATCAATACTGAGTTAATTATGGCAGCCCCCCTTTTTCTTCCATGGAGCAAAACCTTATTTCTTGCGATATCGCTTGGAAGTCTGTCTTCTTGCAAGCATCTTACGTGTTCATGTGTTGTGGAGACAAAGTTATTTAGCAGGCACTGGATTGGCACTTTGCCACTTATAACCAAACCACCAGCCCCCATGTCCTTCACCACCTTACACATATACTGACTGGGTATCTGTCAGGGAGAACCGGGGGTGAGTAACATGTGCTGTGCGTTTGTAGGGTGTGTGTGTGTGTGTGTGTGTTGTAACACCAGTTCCTGCTTGGTGCTGACATTGAAAACAAAGCAATTTTCAACATGTGGGAGGAAACCGGAGTACCCGAAGAAAACCTACACAGGCACGTGAACACAGAACATGCAAGAAGTCTGGAACCGGAATCGAACCCTGTGTGTGTGTGTGTGTGCGTGCGTGCGTGCGTGCGTGCGTGAGTGCGCGTGCGCACGCGAACGCGCGTGCGTATGAACTTTGCAAGTTCACATATGGGGCTTTGTTTCAGTGATCACTTTAATTGATACTGAATAGGCCCAGATGCATGCCATTGTACTTCCTGAACACCAGCTAATATTTTCAGCCTACATACTCCATTGTCTGCATAAACTGATGGTAATTGGATCCTACAGTTGTACTATGCTCTGATAAAATGGTTTCTATTTTTAGCCGTGGGCTCCAACAAATTTTAATAAAGGTAAACAGCAGGGGCATCGAGAAAGCCAAAATTCTTGGCATGTATGCGAGGGGACCTAATTACATGGGGTGCAGTGGTGGGAGTTGTGCTGTGGTATGTAGAGTGCTCCATTCAAAAGAAGAAAATGATGAGACAATTATCTGCAATTCTGGACACAATATGAGTTCCAATATCCAGGTTAATTTATTTTTGCCTTTCATTTTCAGAAAGTTCTGCATTCCAGCAATTTATTCATAGTAAACAAAGTACAAACTGTATGCTTACTTTTAAAGATTACATTATAGTTTGTGATCATTTTATGATGACTGAAAAAATGAAACATCTGAACTTGCTTAATTGAGTCTACTTCATGCAAAGGTTTAGGGGAATCAATTTTTGAATCAATGCATGTTTTTATGTAAAATAAAATCACAGCTACTGTAGCTGCATTTTAAACGGGGGCAGGTGTAGTAGTTAGAGGGCACTGACTACAGTTGCTGTTCAGGTTATTGCTTGACCAGCTATTACTGCATTTTGTTAACCAATATGTTCAATATTATCATTAATCATTCTGAACTAAGCACATCTTTGACACCCCATTTCTGCATTTCTCAAGCTCAACATAAGATAGTATGATTGAATTTCTTTGCCAACACAACAATTTGGCCAAATTCAAGAACATGGGGTACGTTGCAATGTCAAAAAAGTCAATCAAAAGAGGCAGTGAAAAGCTCCTACAGTCCTTCAAAATGTTTCATTTTTACACATGTGCATAGCTGCTGCAGCAAAACCGTTTTTGGAAGAACCCTTGACCAATAAAAAAAAGTGTGTATGTGAGTTTTGGGGCTTCATCTGTTATTAGAAAAATGCATTGGCCTCCCGCTATACAACTACTGTAATTCCAGATTAATTTTCCTCAACTCAGCCAAGCTATCTCGTGTTTGCAGATGTTGCGGCCGAAATAAAGTGTATGTTTACATCTTGGGTATGAATCTGCTGTCTAACTGAAACTTGTGCATAAGTGTGCACGTTTGTGTACAGGTGCAGTTTGGGCCACTTAAACGGTTTATAGCTTGGTGTGCATGTGTGTGAGGGATGTTTGTTAAAGCTTTACTACCCTGGGCGTGCAGGCTGAACATGAAAGGGTCTTTGACTTGGCAAACCCTGCCTGAGGACACCCCTCTATGGACTGTGCCAGCCCAGACTTGGCACAGAGGACTCCTCCCGAGGGACAGGATGGGCCTAAATGCTTGTGTGCTGGGAGGGAGGATAGGTGTGTATGTTAAAAGTGATGTTTTGTGGGCTGAACCGATGGTCAGATGACAGGTGTGTGTGTGTGTGTGTGTGTGTGTGTGTGTGTGTGTGTGTGTGTGTGTGTGTGCGTGTGTGTGTGTGTGTGTGTGTGTGTGCGTGCGCTATCCTCGGGGCTCCTGAATTGGGCTTCCTGCGTCTCTGTTTGTCTTCTAACAACCTTGGTACCACAGCCTCGGGCCATTCAGGTGGAGGCTAGTTGAAGTATGCACCCGCACACATACAGTCCACACAAAAAGAGCGACATTAACTCACCTACAAATGTGCACAGACACACACCTGTTTTATGAACATATTTACTCTAAAGATATGCAGAAACACACACAAGTGCACACATTGTAAACCGCCGTCTGTGAACCTGTGTTTCGTTAGTACGTAATAAATGTGTTGTGGCAGAGGTTCCATGATGTGTAGTGAGTTGATGAGAGCTGTCAGAAACATACGATCCGTATTTCAAATCCCGCTACCTCTGTTTTCCCTCCATCTGACTCCTCAATTTCTTTGCCTTGCAAAATGTTTCCTGCTCGTCTTAAAGGACTGCAAAGTGGTAAACATGAGCATGTCTGCACCTCTTAAAAATGACACTCTACATCTCGTTAGCACTGTGGCAGATCTGCCGATTGAGCAAGCCATAAAGGC